TGCTTATTTACACCAATAAAGGAGCTCAAAAGAATACCTAACTATATCAACCCATATTGAGTATTTTCGATATCAATGGTAGGAGATTAATAGAGAGAAAGAAATTAAGAAAGTTGAGTAGAGCATGACTATTTTCCAACGATATAAGGATAATCTATTACAGGACTGCCAAATGACAGGAGTATACCTGGACGATATTATCATAACGGCAAAAAATGATGTAGAGCATTTGAATAATGTAATAACAGTTTTAATAAAACAGGCTGATATGAAGGTAAAATGGTCGAAAATACATTTTAAAAGAATCAGACACTTTTTTAGGATTTAATAGATGAAAATGGCATGCCCCCAGCGAAGGGAAAAATAGATGCTATATTCGAAAGATACTAACTCCTAAGAATATACACCAATTGCGATCGAGATTTTTATTACATTTACATGGTATAATCGCTCCACTGTATAAATTAACAAGTATTAAAAGTTTCTAGGGTTGGTCTGACAGAGAACAAGATGTATTTAATAAAATAATGCAGCTTTTATTAACAGACAAATAATTCTTTATTCGTCAAACTTGCCAGTTATATTGGAATCGTCTCCATCACTAGTGTTGAAGTTTTGCTATTTCACGTTGTTAAAAAGGGTTTTAGCAGACCTATCGCATTTGCTTCGCAAACATTATTTAGGTCAGAGAAAAATTATGCACCAGTAGAAATAGAGGCACGAGTTTTGTTTGGAATGGAAAAATTTAATACTTTCATTTTTGAACGAAAATTTATATTGCGAGCAGATCATAAACATTTGGAAAAATTATTTGGTGATAACGGGAACTACCAAAAATAGCATAGAAAATGTCCGCATTTGATTTTGAAATTGAATATCGTTCAGGATAAGAAAACATAGTGGTTGATACATTATCTAGACTGGCATTAGCAATTATAGAGTCAAATAACGACCAGAAATATGTATTAAAAATTAGAGCTATAAATTTGCTCGATATAAATCTTGGTAGGTTGACCTCCAGAAAGAAACAAGGGAAGATAGATTGCTAAATAAAGTAATCAAAAACATTGAGCGAGGATGGATGGGGTTTGATACGAAAAATGATGCAGAGTTAGTTTTAATAATCGTCGGGAGATATTGTCAATCGTGATTATGTTGAATGGAATGGAAAGTTTATAATTGCAACCATGTGAAGGAAATCAATATTAACTATTATACACAGAGGGCATCCAGGAATAAATGCTATGAAATCAATTTTTAGAATGTATTGTTGGTAGCCTAATTGTGATAGAGACATTGAACAACATGTTCGTCAATGTATACCATGTCAAAAGAGTCTACATGGGAGAAAATTTGTACACCTACCCTACTAAAAATTTAGCACGATGCTATAGTATATTAATAAAAAGAATCTTGTAATACATTTATAATCCCACAACAAAATATTTTTAGTTTTTTCAGGCCTATTCAGGCTAGAAAAAACTTAAATATTAAATTCTTTCTAATAATCAATAGGCAATTTAAAAAAAGTTATTTGGGTTCTTCATTGGGATTGATCGTTGAATGAGAAGAAATTATAACCTGGGAAATAAATTTGGATTTTTGCTAATTATTAAATAAAGAATTTAGTTAAAATTTGTTTATCTATCGAAAATCTTATTTTTAATAATAATATTTTAATATTTTTCTAAAACTTTAAATGATTTATTGTATTCTTACTGAAATTTATTAATAAAATTAATCATATATGTTAACCTTTATACTTTTAGAAAATAAACGAATAAGAAAAATATTAATATTTTAGGTGTAAAATTGTGAAATATTACGGTAAAAAAATTAATAAGAAGGCTTAAAATTTATAAGAAAAAATTTACAGTTTTTTATTTGTTAATTGGCAGTAATCATATCTTGAATTTAAAAAGAATATAATTCAAGTCTAACCCCTAAAAATCAATACCTACCCCCAAAAATTAATGCCTACCCCCTCAAAAAATATCTACCTCCAAAAATCTATACCTACCCCCCTAAATACCAATATATTTGGGAGACATTTGTCTCTTACCCACCCCGGCTACGTAGACGTGTCAAATTAACCGGTTGAATATAATGGAGGTACTTTTATATTCGTGGAACATCTCTAATATGCCATGGAAACGCATTCATCTATATTTCGCGGGACCTATCGATTCATATTCATGGTTAATTGGAGTTGTTGCACATTCTAAATGGGTTGAGGTCGAGTTGATGAGAGAGATCATGTTTACAACAAAGATCAGGGCGCTAAGAAAATAGTTCACACGTTTTAGAACGCCAAGACAAATTGTGTCAGATAATGGCCCTCAGTTTATTTCTGGAGAATTTCGAAGATTGTGTTTAGAGAAAAATATAAAATTAATACATTCAACACCTTACCATCCCAAAACAAATGGGTTAGCTTAAAGAACAATACGAGAACTTAAGAGTCGATATTTTGATACTAGAAAAGATATTAAGAATCCAGAGAAAGCTATGGAAGAAGTTTTGACAGCATACAGAATGGGCTAGGACCAATCAACTGGACGTTCATCGGAAAAATTATTGTTGGAGCACAATCTAACTGGATTAGATTAATTACATCCTAATGTTAAGGATGAGATGGAACGATCTAATATGCGACAAAGGACAGCGCATGATGAAAACATTCAAATAAGGGAATTCGAGGTTTCACAACCTGTATGGGTACATAATGAAATCAATTTAGGTTGGAAAGAAGGAATTATAAAATCCAGAACTGGTAGACATTCCTATTTAGTAAAAAGTAAAGATAGAAAAATATAAAATCATGCAAATCAACTGCGAAACAGGTATGTATGGAAAGAAATGGAAAAGTCAGAAAGAGAGGAAGAAAATATGGAATCGGAAATGTTGAGAAGTTCGAAAATATTGAAGGATCACCTAGATAGGGAGATGACGGCTAAACGGAAAAGACTGATGAAAATTGGGGTCCATAGGACATGTTAGAAGTTGAATCAACAATGAGGCGGGAATCACAACAATTGAAGAAGCCTATACATCATCTGGTTGAGGAGTTTTAAAATCTTAAGTGTGAGGAAATGTGATAAATGTTATATAAGATTTTATTATAGTTCATACATTTTATATTACATTCTATTTGAATTTTATTATCATGATGATTGACATTATATATTTTCTAGGGAATGCAACATAAAGTAATATGTTGTATAGTTTAGTAAAATGACAATTACGATAAATTTGTCCTTTTATTTATTTATTAAAGATTTTATTATATATATATCTGAAATTGACTTTATCTTTTTTAATAACTAATTCCTTAAATGATAAATAAACTTAAATGGATCACAATAATTAGGAACTTTGATTATATAAATCTCTCTGTTAAGAATTTTTTCATTTAATATTATATAAATTTAAAGGGGACATCAAAACCATCGCATTTATTCATTAATTCTAATTTAAGATGTTTTCAATTATCCATGATTATTTAATTATTTTTAAATTGGGAACATTTATTCTTGTTTAGGATTTAAATATATAAGGTTTCAGCGCTATTAGGAATTTAATTTTAATATTATATTTATTAGCATTTAGGAATATTCAATTTAACCGATTTACATTTAAACCTGTTTCCACTGTTATGAATTCGAAATATTATATTTTTTATTATGAAATTATTGAGACGTAAAAGTACTGAGAGGAGGATCTCGGCCTGGTAAAGTGACAGTGGGACACCTCCCGCCTAAGGTCATTTTCAGACAGAACGGTTTTTCAAAGCGGTTTTTGGGTAATGTTACCAACAATTTCTTTCTATTTCCAAACAAAGGATGCTAACATGTCTAAATTTTTTTTTTATATAATATAATATTTAAAAAAACACAATCCTGAGCACCATGACGCCATTTAATCGTTATTAAAATTAACGATTTAAAAAAAATGGGTATCTGGATTGTTTTTTAAAATATTTTTATTATATAAAAAAATTTATTCGAAAGTTAATAATTTTTTTGGAAATAAAAAATTGATTGCTGGTAACATTACCCAAAAATCGCTTTGAAAAAACATTCTATCTGGAAATGACCTAAAATAGAATCTTTGGAATGTATTTTTGGCCCAAATTATAAAAAAAGTGTAGGCATATAACCTTCATTAGGATCTGCTCATACTCATTTGGCTGGCCTTGATTTGAAAATTTATTCCGAATCTTACCGAACTCTAACCTTTATACTATTAAATAATTTTTCTTTCCTTATGTTTTTATTAAAATTATATAGTCACAATCAAAATTTGTTTATTATTCTCAGTGTTTCTAATTTTTCTGATTTCGATTGAAATATCATACTCGTTCAATAGTCTGATAAAAAAAATCAGATTAACTCAGTCCTATTTAAAAATAAAAACTTAGATCGAATCGTAATCGAATATTTAAAAAAAAATTTAATCAGAATGGTAGGACAAAAATTTTAGAATATGTTTCGGATTGGGTCGAACGTTAAAAATTGGTAGGGCTCAAATGGAAATTGAACTTGGTTAAAATCGTGATAAATATGCCTTAATGAGACATTACAAATAGTAAGGATAAAAGAGAGAGTGATGCTGCACTCTTCGCCTAGATAATATAATAAGACCTTTTTTTTAAATTTATGAATAAAATTTGTTTTAATCAGTTAACACCAAATGATTAACATTAACCATCAGGTGTTTCAGAGCATTATAAAGTGGATAAGTTTAAGATTTATTACAATAATCATTTTTATTATTAAATAATACACATTTAACTTGAAATTATTTATTTATTTGGTGCAACAATAATATAATGTTTTTTTCATCTATGGTCTTTAGTGGTAAATATTTATAAACAAAATTTATGTTATTTTTAAATATTTGTAATCTTTTAACTTATTAAAAATTTACTTATTTTTCCGCAAAGTTTGAAAAATATGTAAAAAAAAATAATTTATACGAACCTTTGTGAGTAAGGAAAATCAGATGTTTGTGGTAAAATGGAAAAAGCATACACACTGCGTTTGTTTGGTAAAATTAGTTGTAACAAATTTCTAATTTTTTCCTATTTTTTTTAGTAAATTTAACAAAAAATTTAACATCAATACGAAGTAATATATTATAGATCATAGCCCATATATAAATATTAATCTCAAGAAATTTCAAAATTTAATTGGAATGATCCATTTTTATTAGAAGAACAATTTACTCAGGATGAATTATCCATTCGCAATAGCTTTCGGAAATATTGTCAGGATAAACTATTCCCCAGAGTTTTATTAGCAAATAGAAATGAATGTAAATAATTTCTAACTTTGACATTATTAATCAAGTTATCAGATTTTCATAAAGAAATTTTTAAAGAGATGGGTGAATTAGGTGTGTTGGGTGCAACTTTAAAGGGATATGGCATGCCTGGTATATCGTCAGTAGCTTATGGTTTATTAGCAAGAGAAATTGAGAAGTTTCAAAATTTTATTACTTTTGTAACTAAAATTTTTTAATTAAAAAAAATGTCTGAATAAACAGGATAGATAGTGGATATCGTTCATGTATGAGTGTGCAATCTTCTTTAGTCATGTTTCCTATTCATGCTTTTGGGTCTGAAGCACAGAAACTTAAATATTTGCCTAAACTTGGTAAGTCTTGGTTATATTAAATTATAAAATTGTAACTAAATAATAGTTATTCCTCCTAAATTCAATTATTAATAAGATATGTATATAATGTTGTTAAAATAAGCCAAAGGTGATATGATTGGTTGCTTTGGACTCACTGAACCTAACCATGGCAGTGACCCATCATCAATGGAAACAAAAGCTCAAAAAATTACAAAAAATGGAAAGACTTATTATTTGCTAAATGGAACTAAATCATGGTAATATAGTTTTATTTCAAAGGTTTATTTGTTTGTTGAGATATGATATGCTGAGATTTATTTTTTATTAATAAATATATTTTCCATAAGTTTCAAGAGTTTTTTTTACAGTGGAGGACACAGCAAAATAGTTATATGCCTAAATTTTTATACATAGTTGAGATTTTTAAAATTTTGATGATTTTATCACTTAGTTCAAAACTGATTTTTAGTATTTTTTTATTTAAAATAATCCCTTTAATTGTTTTAATAAGAAATTGAAAATATGAGAAGTAAATGAATGCTAAATAATATATACATGATTTATAAAATATTTATTTGATATCAGGTGCCTAGCCAGCAGGGAGGAAGGATAAATCCCCACACCCCACCCCTTGTAGCAAATTTTTTTAAAAAATATAAAAGGTTTTAAGAATTGTGAAATGCAAAACATTTTATTTTGAATAGGTTATATTTTTTTTTTATTTTAGCAAAAAGTTAAATAAATATTTATATTTCTTCTTTGTGTATTAATATTTTTTACAAAAATTGAAGCACATTTTTTTATATATTTTTTTTAACCTTAAACACTGATGGTTATAAGAAAATTTTATTGACCAAAAACCTAACATTAATATAATTTAATATAAAATATATAACCCAAACCCAATACAGAAAGTATAATAATTGATTATTAATCTTCAGAATTTGAGACACAATGATTGCAAATAATACTATTGAACAAAATGAAGAATCTAATAAGATAGATAATGAAGAAATAGCTTCAGGAAGTTAGTAATCATTAGAAAAAATTTGTTGAAGAGAATTTTTTTTAAGACTATAGAGCCGCTGTCATCAAGCTGTTACAGCATTCTTGGATCTAGATGAGCCTATTTTTATTGCCGATAGAGCAGCTAGCTGTTACAGCATTCTTGGATCTAGATGAGCCTATTATATTGCCTTTGGGGAAATATCAGAATGGCCTGAACCAGTTATTCCTTCTGAAGTTGATACATTATTAAATTCAATAGAACAGCCAATTTTTTCTTCTCATTTGGTGTTAATAAATTATTTAATTACTCAACAATTTAATGCAATATTTTTCAAAAAAATGATATGGATTTTGCTGTGATTACATGAATATGATTATGTCACGACTTAGAAAAGAGATAATATTGACCAGTAATTTCACAAGATATATGTGAATAGTGAGACAACATAAAAAATATTATCCCCCCTCCATGGAAAATTTATGGCTGCGTGCCTGATTAATATGATTTAGGTTTATTTAAAAAATTTATCTCAGACATGATGTTTTGTCATTTTTATGTTTATCCCGAATTTGTAAAATCTTTATTTTTAAGCCTTTGATCATACTATTTTATTGCCCACTCATATGGTCTGGTATACAGACCTGTTCTGGGATGAGCCTGCAGGTCTCTTAGGTTATATAGATCTATTCTATTCAATTTATTATTTATGAATATACTATCCCTGATATTAATATCTACCTATAAACCCTACCTTCTTAACCTGATTTCAAAACATATATAAATTCAATAATTAGATCAAATCAAAAGTTTAATTGTGAAACAATTTTTTGCAAAAAAATATAAAATGGAGGACACATTTATCTAACCGCAGGGGGCATACCTCTTGCCAATTTTTCAGTTTTTGTAAATATCATTTAAAGCTAATAAAATATTATCCCCAACACTCCCCCATCCTTATCTCCCAAAAAATGAATACAGTACTACCTTAAATCAAATTAGAACACTAAACTAAAATTCCACAAATAATTTTTGAAAGCAAAATTTATCACATCAAATTACATTACTTTATTTAATATTTGTAATACATATATTTGGTAATATAAGCTTATCAAAAATATTAGTTTTATTAATATGTTCCAAAAAATAATATTAGATGCGACATTAAAAAAAGTAGTATTCAAGTCAAAATAAATACCAATAATGTTTGAGAAATCAAATAGCTCGCCATTTCCTCTCTAATGCTTGGTTACGTTTCCTATAAAGCTAATGACGGACTTAATTAATTTTTTAGGTAGAGTTTGAAACAAGGTTTTACACTTTTTTAGAAATATTTTCCATCAATACTTAGTCCTATTTAGCAAATTGGTCTATGCTGCCTATATCTTTTTTTAAAATCAAAGATCAGGATTTTTTGGATTAAATTTAAATCGGGGCTTGATGCAGAACTATTAAAGTCAATTATTGTCGGATAAAATATATTTTGGTCTATTTTAATGTATGATATAGCACATTATATTGTTACAGAATAAAATTCCTTTGCGAAAGCCATATATTTGTCAAAGCAATGCAAGTTCTTTTGATGAAATATATTGATATTTGGATGAATTTATAACAACAAAACTAGACATTTTATCCCGCCATACAAACAAACCCTTAACGTAACTTTTGTTGTAAATGGGTTCTTTTAAGACAGCCTGCTGGCATGTCAACTAAGGCCTTCTCATTTCTATAATAATAGCAGAATTAGTTAAAGTTTTTTATAATATTAAATGTATACCTTATAAAATGGATATCCTATGAATTCCAATCAAATAGAATATCACTGGTACATAAATCTCCTTTTCATCAAAAATAATTTCAAATCTCTCAAATTTCTTTGAATTGTAACATTTTTTCCGCCTATTTTCCGATGAGAACTGTTAGCTTGAGCATTTTTGGATCTATATATAATACCACGAATACGAATCTTTTGCTATAGGGATTCCATCTTTATGAGATTTAGGGTTTTTTGATTCCTAAGATGGGGGCACATTAATAAAACAAGGTGTAAATTTAATAAGCCAAAACAATAGAAGGAAGCAATATGAAAACAAAAGAAGTAAATCTTTAACTTATCTCAAAACATTGTAAATTTAAGTAAAGGCAATCATTTTGATTCGCCAATGTTCAATAGCTTTAATTTTGATTTATATACTATTTATTGTTTATATATTGATTTTTTAAATATTGTTAATAATGTTAACATTATTTTTCATAAATATATTTGCATTACAAACACAATCCAAGAACTGACAATATGGGGCTTACCCTTTAAAAAGTACAAAGTACCCCGTATTGTATAAAATAAAGTAAATGACCTATTTTGGCCACTTGGAAGTTACACTTTAAGAAATTGTAGATTATTTTAAAAATTCACTCTTTTATCCTCACCAGCTTAGGTAATTTTGCAATGGGGGATCCTTGGCGTTAGCTCATGAATTGATTGCGTACCTTGATTGTAAAAACCATTTGTTTTGCAATAAAGTTAAAAAATCTAAATTTGGTTTAAAAAAATATTTATGTTCCGATACTTCCTTCTCTCAACTTTATTTCGGAAATTTTATGATTTTTGACTTTTAAATTTATACACCTATATTTTCCTATAGAATTGTCAAAATCAATTTTGGTTTTTTTATTTGTAGGATGGGACGCGTTCCAAAGACGGCATAACTTTGGTAGAACGCGTCCTCTTTGAATAAAGAAGGATTTTTTCTATAAAAATTCATGTAATAGATTCTTTTAAATACTTTCTCACATTGTATGCCATTTTAATCTTTATATTTAGGATTACCAATTCTCCGGTCGCTGATCTATGCTTGGTGTGGGCTCACGTTGTATCTCCTTCCCCTTCCTCTCTCGACAAAGCTAAACGGAGTAATATAGATAATCAAATAAAAGGTTTTTTGATCGAAAAAGGCAGCCCTGGCCTATCATGTCCCGAAATCAAAGGTAAATTTTCTCTTAGAACTTCTGTCACTGGTCAAATTGTCATGGACAATGTAGAGGTTTTGGAGGAAGATAGTATTTTGCCTGGCGTCGTTGGCTTGAAGGTATATATATATATAGTATATTCGTTTTTTTTTGCAGGGAGCTGGGTTAATAACATAACTTTAAAAATTTATATAAAGAGAACCGAATGGGACAAGATTCCACAGAACGTTTATGATCATCTAAAAACGTTCAGGAAAGTATATCTATAAAACACAAATTTCTTTCTATTTTATCAACAAACACGGATGATGTATTCTTTTATTTTTATACGTAGAAAAGTAAACTTGAGTTGTTGAGCTTATATGGCCCCTTTACGGTTGGCTGAAAGGAGTGACTGATATAATAAAATGATATTTTATTAACTAAAAAAATAAATCGTTTGAATAATAAAAAAAAAACAAATTTTACCCGTTTTAAGTACAAATCACAAAGAAAGATGAAGATAAATACAGATAAAGAATATATGTTGGTTTATGAAATAAAACTGAAATCTGATTTTTTGAGGAATCTACCGAAACATTCCCCAAACTTGGACTCCCTGTTTTTTTAGATTCTTCCCTTGCCTTATTATTTCATGGTATAATTTATACGATTCTTATTAATGGCATATTGTATTCATTTTGCAGTGCTTAATGCATGCACATTGTGTAATTAGTAAATTTCTTTAATATATATATATTTTTAAATTTATAGTCAACAAGGTTCATATTTATTAAGTAAATATGTTTCAAAGGCTTTAAAGACCAAAATTTTGATAAAACTTATTGAAGAGTTTTTAAACATATATATTTTTTTACAAATTTTAATTAAATTGATGCTTGAAATCTAATTGTAAAGAAAATTTTTTGCTAAGGTAGCGCGCTATATATTTTGGCTTTAGCGATGGTGCGGTACTATCTTTTGAAAAGTAATGTTATGGTAGCTCTACTTTTTTAAATAGATACTTTACGCTACTTTTAAATAATATAATATAAAATAAAAACATAATTAAATTTGAGATTATAATATTGAAATTTAATATTTTGAATTATTATTTATTTTATTTTGTAAAATTCAATCGACCATCGATCGAAAATAATTAAAAATACGCAGGACTGTAACTACTAGGGGCATTTAGGAGACACACCTCACGAAATTTTGTGCCCCTCCCCCTCTCTAGAATTATTTCGTCTTTTGCTTTCGTATACTTAGAAACAGGATGTCGAACTAAACTGCGAAATCAAAATGAACCGTTTTAAATTTCACAACCATTATAAGAATATTTTGAAAGGAGAGATCCAATCCGTTATAAATGGTCTCGAACCGGTTCAAACCCATCTTCATTAATTTTTGTTTTATGTTTTTATTTTTGAGTTTTTGAAATATTTTTGCTTGATTTTATATTTAAGTTTTGAAATTTTTTTTTATCAGTATTATGAGTCAATTAATAAAATATATTATACATGATTTAAAAATTTTCACAACTTTTATAAACCATAACTAACCGAAAAACCGATATAAATTTCTAAACCGAAATGCGCCAATATAGGATCAAAAATAAGCGACATAGTATTAAATCGTTTTAAAAATTGAAACTAAAAACTGAATGGAACTGAACTGTAATTATCGGTTCAACACCCCTCTTAGAAGTAAATTGTAATAAAAAATATATAAATATCATTTATTTTAACCTTATGCAATTTTTATAAATTTAATTAATTACGCAGGGACCATTTAGCTGTCTAAACAACGCCAGATATGGCATAGCCTGGGGTGCCCTGGGTGCTGCTGAATTTTGCTTTGAAAGATCCAGGGAATATGTGCTAGATAGGTTTAATTAGGGTTGGGAAACAAAAACAAAAAGTTTTAGTTTCAAACAAAGCTAAAAAATTTGGATTTTTTGTTTTGAATTCCAGAAACAAACCTTTAATACTTCTTTAAAGTAGATTTTCTTCTTTAATCACTAATCATTTAAATGCATGGTTGGTATTTTTTAAACTAATTTTGAACACAAAAATTTTAAGCGTTAAAAATTAGTGATCTGCATCGGGCCTAGTTTTTCAAGCCCGGCCCGGCCCGAAATTTTTTTTAAAAAAGTTTTGCCGGCCCGGCCCAAACCCGAATTTTTTAAAAAAAGTTCTGCCAGCCCGACCCGAACCCCAAATTTTTTTTACAAAAATTTACCGACCCGACCCGGCCTGAATTTATTTAAATATAGAAATTAATTTTTTATAATTACTCAAAATAAAAGACATATGTTATATGTCGTTTAATTTCGATAAATACAAATATTTTTATTTTACATAAAAAATTCAATATAAAATTGATAAATTTAGATATATTTAAAAAAGTTCCAAAATCTGGCCCGACCCGACCCGAATTTTTTTTAAAATGTTAGGTCCGGCCCGACCCGAACCCAATTATTTTAATTAGAATTAGACCCGAGCTCGGCTCTAAGCCCGTTCGGGCCGGGTCTAACTTTGCAGATCTCTATTAAAAATACTATGATAATAATTTAACTATTTTAACAAAAAATAAGTCAAGGTTATATTAAAAATAGTGTGGGAGCAAAATTAGTTGCATTAAATGAATCTACGTCGGGACTATGATCTCATTTTCAAAGCAACCATAGATTTTAAAAATATAAAAATTGATAATAATTTCTAACGATAACAATGGTATTAATAAATATAATTCACATGCCGCGCCACTCATTTTTTTAAGGGCCGCTCTATTTAAAAAAATAATCGAGTAGAATATCCATCTCAGCTTTTTAAAATTTCGTTTTATAATTGGCTACAAAAAGAAATCGAACATAGGAGTAGCCAATTAATGTTTAAATGATTCATCATCATATGTTTTTTAAATTTTTAAATTCAATTTTACAATGTTAGTATATTTATGCAAAGTTGTTAAATTTAATAATATCTATTAATACCGAACCTAGATCGAACCCGGAATTGGGTTTGACTTGTTTGGACCGAACGCTTTTTCAAAAAATGTCGAAATTCATACTAAACCCGGCTTCTGGGTCACTTTAGTTAACGGTCTACCATAAATGAATCGAATTGATTTTTTGGTTGATTGGGTGAAACTCAATAAAGGGCCCTTTTCTTAGAAAATTAACATAACACGTTTTGGAATTAGAATATATTTTAAAAATATATAGTCTGGCCCAGATATGAAATTTTTTATTATTTATTAGGTTCCGTTCAGGTTTTTCTAAATCATACCATTTTATAGTCGGATATCCTGGCAGGCTCATTGATAAAAATAGTTAACTTAATTTTAAAATTTTTATGTTTAATTATTTTTTCTAAAAAACAGTTTTTTTTTGAATAATTCAAAACCATATCATATTCAAAAACAAACAAAAACTTTTGGGTTTCCCAGCCCTAGGTTTAATACTTATAAATATTCGTTATTTAATTTAATTTTTATTCCTATTTTTTATTATTTAAAAAAAACAATTTAATATTCGTTAATAAAAACATTAGAAAACAATTCGGAAAACCTTTGGCTAGCTATCAGTTGATTCAGAAAAAATTGGCTGAAATGTTGACTGAAATATCCATAAATTTACAGGCTTGTTTGCGGGTTGGACGGTTAAAAGATGAGAACAAGTTAAATACCTAAACATCGTTTTTTTGTTTAGATTTTTTTTAAACATTTTTTTAAACATTTTTTGTTTCAGTTTTTTAATGTTAATTAATTTTTATTTTTGAATTATCAAAAATGAAAGTTTTGTATTTTATAATTTTATGTTCCATTATTATTATTATTATTATAATTATTATAATTAAGTTTAAAAATAAAGTTTTCTTACCATGGATTTAAAAAATAATTTGAAATTATGAAAAAAAATATAATATAAAAACAAAAAGAAATAACAGTGAAAAATTTATATACATCCTAACACAAATTTTTATCTCAGAGCGGCCCCTGAAATGATATCACTGATCAAGAGAAACAGTTGCCTTCGATCATTAGAAATCGTCAGGCAAGCTAGGGATCTATTGGGTGCAAATGGAATATGCGACGAATACCATATAATCAGACACGTTATGAATCTTGAATCAGTCAATACTTATGAAGGTTTACAGTTTATTTTGTTGAAAGCATAACAAAAAATTTAAAGAAAGGAGTAAAATGAGATAGACAAAGATACCCTTATTATAAGCTCAGGAGTTACTATTAGATTTTATAAGTCGTTTTATTGTTTTTAATTGAAATTTTTTGAAAGGAAGAATTGAGCAAATAAAGGATGGGAAAATTTAGATAAACTATTTTTGCAAATATTAATACCTATATATTTTTTTAAAAAAATATTAATTTGTTTGTATGATTATTTTATTTGATCTGTAGGTACGAGTGACATACACGCTTTAATACTTGGTAAGGCTATAACGGGAATATCTGCGTTTAGTTAACACATTCATTCATTTCGAAAAATTGACTATTATTCATACTATTTTCCCTTTGATTTTTGAAATATTTAACCAGAGACCTGCAGAGCTACTTATTTACAGTTCTTAACTAGGCTTCTTAAATTTTGTCATTTTTCAGACTTTTCTGGTTATCAAAACCTCGATTTTAAGGCCCGTGGCAATCGGAGTCTATCTCGAATGTATTTACTATTTTGATAGCTAATTATTCTTTTGCCTTTTTTAATCACTTCAACAATAAAAAAAATCATAAATTGAGACAAATTGATGAAAACTTCATAGTAGAATTATAGTTACTTTATAAATAAGTATTATATCATCAAAATAATTTTAATATTTTATTTTATTGATTCACGATTGCAATTGATATTATAAATTATTGTATAATATATTCAATGTTAATATAATTTATTAAAAATATTTTATTTTTCACTTTAATTAGATCAAATAATTATAATTTTATCATTCATTCGACCCACCAAATTTTAAAATATCGTCATGTAGGCTAATACATTTATTTGGTTATTTTTTTAAAGGTCTTCAAGCTTTTTTATACACAGAAATTGAGATTTTATAGGCCAATACATTTATTGGATAAATTTATTTACCAAAGATGGTCAAGTTTTTTATGCACGGAAATCGAAATTTTATAAAATTGCAAATGAATATTAGGTCCTTAATAATTTTTTTTTGTTAGAAGGATAATTTTTTTAAAAAATCTTTTGAATTGTATAATATTAATATATATTTTTTTAAATATCAGACTATCTTATCATGAATAGGTAAAATAGAAATCGAATAATTGTATTATAATTTCGAATATTTAGTAATAATTTCGAATAATACAAATAATACATTCTAATAATACGAATAATGACTAGGTTTTCATTATTTGACTAATAATTTGTTTTAAAAAATACTTATGACTCACGAATCATGATATATTTAAGAAGCTCGATATCATGTTAAACTATTATTTTATTGATAAGTAATTTTTAATCTTACAACGAGTCCGCATCCTAAAAACAATAATATTTTTTTTTACCTATTATAAATTTGAAACAAAATAATCTTCAAAAATAAGAGATAAAATATATTCACAAGTTTATGAAATATTATGAAGGTTTAGTTTTATTTAAATTTTCCTAAGATGCCCTGAGTGTTACATCCATTTCGTCAATCGCTGCTTGTCATCGTCCAAAAAATATTTTTCTCACTCATTATAATTTTCCAGTTGCCAGACCATCCGATTCATTTTTAATCTCATTTAATCATAAATCAGTCTTTAACTATTTACAATTTATCTTGGTTTTTTTTATGCATAAGAAATTCCAATTTTCGAATTCGAATTTTTTGAAATTTTTATCAAGCAGACATAAAAATAAATGTTAAAATATTTCCAATAAACTTACGCTATTTTACGAAGAAAATGAATTAAGAGTTTCAAGTAAACTTCTAAAAATATTTGCCATTGATAATTTAGTATTCCGTGAGACAATTTATAATAGCCTATCAATAGAAATTAAATATTGTCCCCTACACCTTTCGGAACTTACCTTCCCGATCCTAAGGAAGGAAGGAAGGAAGATGAAAATCTGAAATATCTTAAATTTATAATGATTTTACATCCCTCAAAACTTTGCTCCCTACCCTCTTAAACCAAATCTTAATTAGAAAAAAATAAAGAAATTCAAATCAAAATTAGCAAAAGAAATTAAATTATAAAATTACCCCTACCCCCTCTGATTTTGAGGAAGATTTTGCATCATTCCTAACCTTAATAGAGATTTATGCCCCCCCCTCTACCCCTTTTCTTAAAATTTTTTGCAACCATCGGCCGTATAATGGAGGGTTTACTCCGAGAATAAAAAGAAATCCTCGTTTTATTGGTTAAGACATTTATCCGACACAGTGTTGTAGTCCTAAAATTTGTATTTGCCAAATCTAGAGGTTTACCTATTATTTTGGTTAAAATTTTAATAGGGTCATTTTTAAAAATCGAACCAAATCAGATCGCTTAACAAGACTATTCCCCATAACAAATGTGAAGGTCTGCTTGACATTTTCTAAACATTTCATACCAAAAAGTTAACAAAAAAAATAAGACCGTATAATTTAATATAGTATTTTTAATTTGTAAAGTTATAGAAATTAGCATTAACCTATTTTGCATTGATTTTAGATGATACCAGAGTGTTTTCTGTTTTTCTTCAACATTACTTATCCAAATTTATTTATATGTATAAAAATAGATTATTTTTTATTATACTTAAAATTATCAAACCAATTTCCATTTTTTAAGATAATAAATTTATTTGAGATATATTTGTCAGACATTCATATTTCCTTAATTTTGACCAAGAGCAAAATAACCATCTAAAGTAATTGTTATTGTTTACAACACGTCGCATTATGTTTTTAAAATCATTCCTTATTTATATTTCTGAAAGATATTTTAACTTAAAATTTAAATAATTTTTAGATCGTTATTTTTAAATTGGGAAATTATGTGTGCAAAAAGAATATCATACAGTAAAGATGAATTACTTTTCTTAGATCCAAAATTGGATTTAAGTTGTTTGAGTGACCACGATTTCAAAAATCTTTGCGAAAAAGATATTTTTATAGCCAAGTTGTATATACCTGAGCGTATCAAAAAGAAGGCAAACAATTATAACATGAAAACTATGGCTATACAGTCTCTGCCTAAGGTAATCTTTAAAAAAAAATTATACTTATAAATAAATTTTATGATATTAAGGAAAGTATTTGAATTAACCCATAATTATATAAGTTTCACCAAACAAAAATGAATTTTTTTAGTAGTTCTGATTGTAAAATGACAGGCATTTATTTTTATAAATTTAATTAACATACATAATACAAGCATAATTTTAAGTTATGATAACTTTGTTAATATCAATAATTTATAAGTGCAAATATCAGAGATGCATATACAATTTTTTTAATATTTATAATTTTATAACTAATTTTTAAATTATACTAATAAAAGAAATTGGGGGGGGGGGGGTTTACAGAACCTTCTTTTCTTATTTGCTTTAAAATATATACTGTAATTTATAAATATATAATCTTTAGTTGAGCATAGTATCAGATTTTTTTTTAAAATCTAGTCCCTTAAAAATTTTTTTTTATAACTATGAGTCCAAACTCGGTTTTTTCCAGTGAGATTTTCACACAGCCCAGCCCTAAATTCAAAATATTAAAACCAGTTTATCCAGGTCTTTCTAAGTTTAAAACAATTGCATAAAAAATTTTTATTGAAAACATGCAATGAAAACAACACAAGTAATTTTAAAAGACCATTTTAGCCTTTTTCCTGAAACTTTTTTTACATCCTGCATCATGAGTGAAGAAATTTTTAAAACATCTTATTTATTTTAGATAAGCTGATATAAAAATATAGCTTTTAAGTGTTAAAAGGCATTATTTTTTACTATAATGTAGAAATAAGCTACAATAAAGTTTGCTACAATGACCTCTAATAAACTAAAGGTATGTTAACTTGTAAACTTTTTAAATAAAGAAGAAAAAATTAACATTATAGATGAATCATTTAATCCATTGAATAAAAATTTAAAAAAATATATAAAATGAAATATATTTGTCATAAAACAGTGTGTTTCATATATGATTGCCAAATAAAAGATTCTAATAATAATAATATTATCAATATATTAAATTTTGTGTTAAATAGAAATCCCTTGCTTAAATCCATTATTTTGAAAAATGTAAAGTATCTGATAATAATTTGAGAATGATGGGAAATATAATGAAATTTGAAATTGTAATTGAAAAATACTAGGAAAATAAAATAGTATAAGATGAAAATACCTGACTAATATTTTGAGAATGATAGGAGTATATTTAAAACGGTAAATTTAAAAGTAAGAGATAAATAAAATAGTACAATTCGCAAAAAATTACAAATATTGCTTATATTTTAATAAAATATATATTTTATTTTTTGGGAAAGAATTAAAACTTTAAAATTAGGTCTGGTTTGCTCATGTCTGACTTGTAGACTCAGATTGAACCAATGCAGGACTCTAGATTATTGTCTAAAAATTTCATTTTTATATGATGGTTAATTATGTGTATTGGCCACAAATATTGGTTGGAAATGGTCGGGTAGTTTCATACCAAATCGATAAGTTTTTGGCTTGAACTTTTTAATTTTTATAAAATTTGGTGTACTAAGAGTACATCATTAGAAAGTATTGCATCCAAAATATTATCCTCCTAATTCTGATAGTTTCTGAGTTATCAATGGAAATTACTTTTTTTCAAAAAATGCATGATTTTTTGAAATTGACATAAGTTAAAAGATATTTATGCTAAGAATAAAAATTAGGTGTCATTTTGTAATTCTATTAAAAGCCTTTTAATACAAATTAAAGTTTATTTAAAAAGAATGTTGCAATTTTAAATTATGATATAAATTATGAACCTGAAGGCTCTAGGTCTTTTGCTCTCTGAATTTTTTTGGATTTAATATTTTTTTATTCACTTACATTATATCTATTTGTAAAAAAATTGGGGCAGCCTTGAATTTTTGGTTGCAATTTAAAATAATATATTTTTCAAAAATAGATGGCGCTTTTATATAAAATAAAGCGTTTTTGAATTATTATTTTTCTAAATTTTTTTTAATTTTTAAACATAAATAATAAGATTTTCCAGCATTAATATCGTGAAATAATATTAAGTCTCTATTGATATACTTATTCTTATTACTATTGATCACTTGTAAAAATCGTTGTTTTTATAATAAACGAAAAAATTCCTTAAGATAGATTCTGATATCTCCTACAAGAATATATAATAATTAATTGTTGAAAGATAAAAACCAGTTTTCAAGCACCTGCTATTAATTAATTTTTGTTTTCCAGAGTTGTATACAAATGATAATAATAATATAATGATAACAAATTACAATATCCTAATTTATCTAAAAATAAAAAATCATTTGTTGACCATTCTACCCCCCTGGAGCGTGAATAAAATAAAATTGGACTCAACGCTACATATCATATGACAATTCCAAAATCATCTTGGAACAAATAGGGATTCTTATGGGAACTATCTCAATAAAAAAAGTTGATATTATTAAATTTTATTATTGCTGTGATAATGTTAGTAGGCTATTTATTACCAGGAGAAAAAGATTCAAATCTCAATGAAAAAGGTGAACGAGTGAACACACAAAACAGTTCATTTTTAATAATATAAAAGAAATATATAATCATTTTAAGGCAGAATTCTAACATAGCATTCGGATTTTCAAAATTTGCTAGCTTATGACCCAAAAAATAGATATTAGCAGGGGCTAGCAAAACATAGTGTATGCCTTTGTAGCATACACCAGAATATTAAACTTTTGATTTTAAGTATGATTTTACAATGACTGACTAAAAATGATGAGGAATACTAACAACTTATAGAAATATTACAGGTAGAATGATTTGCAATTCCCCATTACCCACCTGTTATATTGGTTACTGCAAAGAGTGCCCTGGTCCTGCACTCTTAAAAAATGCATTGAAAAATTATTTATAAAAATGATATCACTCTTGTTATGTTTTGATGGAACAACGTTGGAGATTATTTCTCAATCTTCAGGCGAATTTATTAATTATTTTTTCGATAAAATGTATCATCACGTTCCTTTATTTGCCAACAACAAAGTTCATTTATTTTTATATTGCCCGACAGGAAGTTCAGAGTCATTGTACAACTTCATAAGTTACGTTGCATCCATTCTCATATATTATAAAATAGTAGATCAAATAAACAGCCTAAGCTTTGAGGTAATATCGGAATCCTTAATTTATAATGTTTCATTACATTTATTCCAATCGCATTTGATTTATTTAAAAAAAAATTACTTCTCTGATAGTTTAGCAGCATAATATAAATTGAAAAGGCTTCAAAAATTGAAATCGATTTTGGTGTTTAAGCAGAATGACATTTTTTGTTACAGCAGATTGTAAAAGTGCTTGCGATGATATAGGTGGCACAGTAAAAAGGTTATCTTACAAGGCAAGCTTACAATGACTTTATGGTCAAATATTACACATTTACTATGCGGAAAAGCATATAAAAGAAATAAAATTCTCTTATGCCACCATACAATAATATGAGGAAGAAGAGATAAGGCTAAGTGAGAGATATGTAATTGGGTCATTTCCATGTCAAATCGATCAAAAAACGAGATTTCGGACCACCATCTATAAAATGAACGAAACTTGGCATGATAGTTATTTATGGTCTATATTTTAGTAAAATAAAATTCTAGAGTGCTAGCTCAACCAGATTCAAAGATACACACCTACAAAGTCAAAAATCGCGCAAGGCATGATTCCATTAAATCTTGTTTTTTTTAAAAAAAATACTTGATACAGAGTTGCAAATTTTATTTTTTATCTTTAAAATTTTACATTGGAAAATATTAGGGCTGTTCCGATATTAAATATCGGATCGGATCGGTACCGATATTTAGCGTTTTCCGAAAATATCGGATCGGGCCGATACTGCTGTGTTTCAACACTGTTTATAATTTATATTATCCTTTGTTTGCACGATATAACTTGTTTATCATTTACAGGCTGTGCCGATCCACATATTTTTCACCGATCCGATCCGATATTTTCCGATATTGCTTCAAAACCGATCCGATACCGATCGATATTTATACTGATTTTTAATCACCCCTGTTTAAACCAAATGTAATTAAGTAATCAATATTTTTTATGCTGAATATTATTAAATTTTTTTATTTCTTAATAATATATCCATTTTATGTTGGTATGAATTATAAAATTGTAATATTTAATATATAAAATTATAATATATTAGATTTTTTAATAAATATGAGAGCCTCTATATTTTCTGGGGATAAACTTCTACGATATGGAGGACTATCTATATCTCCTGCCATACTGAAGGCAGACTCGGATGATTCCGCAGATAACGCATTTTGCAAAATTATCTTTGTCTTTTGTAAAATATTTCCATAATTCAGACTATATTTAAAAAAATTCTTTTATTTAAAGTATAAATAAAAAAATTGGCGTTATTTAAAAAGATTTAAAATAAATAAAACTTTGGGTGTTTCTTTCAATTTTTATAAAAAAAACTTTTAAAATGCTATAAATCTATTTTAAAAAAGAAATAAAATTTAAAAAAATTATTTAGAAAATATTATAATAATGTAAAATAAATATACATAACATAAAATAAAATATCAAAAAAAGAAAAGTAAATAGATCAAATCGGGTTTTTGCAGGTATCGGCCGGATCCGACATTTTCGGAAAACGATAAATATCGGTACCGATTCGATCCGATATTTAATATCATCACAGCTCTAATCATTTATATTTTTCTCTTTGTTTGCACAATATTCGAATATTACCATTTATATTTATCTTTGTACTTATACCGAGCCTGTTTTTTATCCTCAAAAATGGTTCTAGCTAGTTTTCGAGATGGATAAGGATGAAATTAATATTTTTTTTATTTATTACTATTAGAAAAAAGGGGACTATATAAAGACCTCGAAAAACGAATTGTGGGATTAAAAATTCTACTTATTTTTTTGTCCTAGTTACTGGGATTCTATCATGAAGGTAATATCCAAATCCGGTCCCCCTGTCCCCATTATCGACCATCCCGGACCCTCGAACCCCGTCAATATCTTCCCTTCCCTGACGGTGGGACCCGTCTGTCCAACTCTAACCGATCCGATCTTTTTTTTTATTTTATTTTATGTTATGTATATTTATTTTACATTATTATATTATTTCTAAATAATTTTTTTAAATCTTGTTTCTTTTTTAAAATAGATTTATAGTATTTTTAAAAGTTTTTTTTTATAAAAATAGAAAGGAACACCCAATGTTTTATTTATTTATAATCTTTTTAAATAACGCCAATTTTTTTATTTATACTTTAAATAAAGAATTTTTTTAAATATGGTATCTGAATTATAGATATATTTTACAAAAAACAAAGATAATTTTGCAAAATGCGTTTAAAGCACTAGTTATACTCAATGTATTTCTTTATTTTAACACCAAACAATATACTTTTATTAAATAATTTTTAAATATAACGCCATCTATATTACATTTTTTATTTATAAAAATAATAAAAATTGTAATAAAATTAAAAAAATTTTTTTTGATCAAAGTGTCGTAAATGATACATTTTATAATATAATGTCAATCAATTTTTATGTATATACATATATTTGTTTATCTATTGTATATAATTAAAGAAATGTCAGTCATTTTTTTATATTAGAGATCGATATATATTGTTGATTTTTTTGATAAAGAATCACTTTTTTTAATTTTTATAACACTTTTTGACTTTTGAATTTTTACTTTTATGAATTTGATGAATATTTGACTTAATAAAGATATATATCCAAGTTTCAGTTCCGTGTTTCCTTTATTTTATAAGTCTGAATTTAGCTCTTTAATTCGGTAGTTTTCTTTCTGTGTTTATTCTTATTTTAGCTAAAAAGTAATTTTCTAAGATTCTTTCTGAATTTAGGAAATAATATCTCAATCGAAAATTCGCTTGACATTAGTTGGCAAATCTGATAATGCAGCCTCTTTGGTCTTGTCTTATCCTGGTCACGGCACCAACTGTCAAAAATAAGCTTAACGTTAACTATATGAAAAAATGAGACTAAATTCTAAAATAAGAATAAACACAGAAAGAAAACTACCGAATTAAAGAGCTAAATTCAGAATTATAAAATAAAGGAAACACGGAACTGAAACTTGGATATATATCTTTATTAAGTCAAATATTCATCAAATTCATAAAAGTAAAAATTCAAAAGTCAAAAAGTGTTATAAAAATTAAAAAAAGTGATTCTTTATCAAAAAATCAACAATATATATCGATCTCTAATATAAAAAAATGACTGACATTTCTTTAATTATATACAATAGATAAACAAATATATGTATATATATAAAAATTGACATTATATTATAAAATGTATCATTTACGACATAAAGGTAATAAACATTTCTAACGAATATCAACACACAACTCTTCTCAACAACGTTAATTTTTATTTTTACTGTATACAAGAAAACACTTGGAATTTTTTAATCTTTTTTTGATCCAATGTAATTTTAAGGGCTATAAGATGATATATAATTTGTAACTACTTGTATTTAAAGATTTAGAAATCACGCATGTCTAGATTTTCTACTTTGAAGGCGTATATCTTTGGATATGGTTAAGCTACTTTAAAATTTTGATTTTAATAATTTAAAAAAATGCATGCCAAGTTTCATTCATTTTTGAGATGGTTGTCTGAAACATTGATTGATTTGTAATAGAATGACCAAATATATCTAAATACCTGTGATAAAAAATTATTGCAGTGTTTCCAATTGGTTTAACTAAGCTCAATACTAAAATATATTTGAATTTGTAGATATTTATTATAGAGAATATAGTTAATTCATATGGTCGTTTGATTGAGGAATCTGTTAATCGATGAAATTAGAGGATATTGTATATGTAAAAACGATGGTGGTTAGGATTTGTGCATTAGAGATGTAATGAGAATTAATTTCCATCACTCTAAAGCACCAGCAAATTATTTTGTTTATTCAGCGACATCTGGTCTTCTTTTCATCCCAAAGAATAATATTTTAAAAATAATGAGCCCATCAACGGTGACTGGGCATACCTAAAATTTATCGCAAAACTAAATTATGCGTCAAAAATACTTAATTTACCGAAAAACTGAAAATAGGTAATATCTTTCATGAATTTTAAATTCAAAAATTCGGAAAGCGAAACATCTGGATCTTTCAGGTTCAAAATTTATAATGGAAATAAAAACCGCAAAATATTATTTACAAATACTTAATATTTACTAAAAGGCTTTTAATAGAGTTACAAAATGTAATATAAATTTTATTTTTTGCATCATTAATTTTTAACTTATCTCAATTTTAAAAAAATCTTAATTTTCAATAAAAGGTCATTTTTGGCCCTTTTGACCATTAATTTCTTTGTAATCATGAGCACTAGGAGGCTAAAATTTTGGATTCAATGCCTTCTAATGTTGCTCTCTCAGTATGCAAAATTTTATCAAAATTAAAAAGGTCTGGCCGAACAGTTATCGATTTGGTATGAAATTATTCTATCTTGATAGGAATACAGGCTAATATGGAGATACCGTAAATATGGGTGCATCTCTTTAAAATACTAAAATTTAAAATGATAATGATAGTTTTCATATTTATTTTTATAAATAGTCTGAAGGTTCGCCTCAATCTTACTCATATCCCCCCAGGTTTAAAGATGATATGTTGCACTCTTCGGATAATTTTAGACACTGGCCTAACAATGAAAATGAGTCATTCAACCCAATGCGTCATAAATCATTTTCTGCTACTCAAAAGTTCAACAATAAATCTGAAATTATCAACTCATTTCAGGAAAGTCATGTTTATAGAGAAGGTATTAATCAATTTACTCACAATAGTAATAACATTAATAACACCGGTGCAAGATATCAAGGTCCTAGAAACAATTTCCATCCAGATTTTAATAGGAATAAACGGTTTTCACCAGCTCAGCCTGCCTCTCACAATTCTGGGATCCTTAATAATCACCAGATGAATAATGCGTTGGTTAGTGGCAACAATCAAGGGACAGACTTTATCAATCGGCGAAGGAATATATCGGAGACACTTGATTATAATCAAAACATTTACGCAGCCAAAAGAGACAATCATTCAAAATATAATCAAGCTCAAAATCAACCGATTTACCACGATACACCATCTTATTACGAATATAATCCTCCTAAAATCAACGAAAACAATTCTTTGGGGTTAGATGGACCCGAGAGAATTATTAAGGACAGTTCCAAAACTTCTTTTAATTCTAATCTTAAAAAGCAAATATCTCTAAATGAGAGGTTTTCAACATATTCCCCACGGGAGAATTTAGCCGCGTTCAATGAAAACGATCACCTTTCCCTTAATATGAATCACCACAGAGACGCCGTTAACAAGGAATCTGCCGATCCAAATTATCCCAATTACGATGTCAAAAGGAATTATCATTTTGGATTGCTAGAGAATGACGTTATTTTAAATCCGCGGTCTGTTGCTCTTTCAGGGAAAGGTAATGAAACATTGCATCAAAGAAACGAGTTTCAACCTTATAACTCTACCGACATTAATTTTGATTACGATCAACATCAAAAGCAGGTCATTAATGCTGAGAAAGGCTCTAATTCCAATCATTTTAACGATAAAATAAGAAACAACCTTGATTTTGGTGATCTACCCCTTAAGCCCAGTTATTCTCACCCTAGTAGCCACTCAACCCCTCAAAGTCTATCAAGACCCAATATAATTTTAGACCAAAGTATCAATCAAAATGCTAACCTCAAGCCGTGCCCGATTACCCCTCAGCGTCTTTATAGTACCCCCATAACCTCTCCTCGTCTGGAAGAAACTAAGGCTGATCTTGATTATAATAGTTTGAGAGATAGTCTTAGTAAGGAGATCGAACCTTCGATAAGCAACTGCAATTTCCACTCGAATGTCGACGTGATTCACAATAATAAAAGCGTCCAAAATATTCAGGATGCGGCGCATAAATCTACCATAACTGAATATTTACGTGCACGAACTCCTAACCCTTCGAGAGACAATTTTTACATTGCAATCGATCCTAATGACAATCTCAATGTTACCCTTAAGTTGTACAGAATAACCGATTTCGGTTATAGTCCTGTCCTCAATCAAACCGGTTTGCCAGAATTACCTCTCTTCTACGGATCAGAATTACTCTTTTTGCTTATTCAAGGGGTCTTAACGCCTGATTGCCGCCTTGAAAATGTAGTCACTCAACAATTCACGTTGTTAAACGAGGTTTTGTCTTTGAAACAGGCTAGGGCTGTTATCGATGACTCGTCCGTGTCAGACGCGAAACTGAGTGCTATTCTCCCGACAGATTTTGAAAATTACGCTATTATGCTGAAACAATTTTCGAAAGAAACGGATACAATTTTAGGAAATTTCAATTTAGAGAAAGGGGAGATTGGTCTGAAAAAGAACGACAAACAAAGTAAAACCGAATCTTGGGTTAACGCTCAATCAGTTGATAATGATAATGTAGCAATATCGAATCAAATCTTAGACTCACTACCTGTCAAGGGTGGCAATAAAACAAAGGGTAAAAAGGATAAAAACAAAAAAGGGGATGATTTAAAAGTTAATACTGGCAGGTTCGAACCCACTGGAAAGGACGTCAAAGGCATCAATTCAAAGAAACAATCGCAAGTGAAAGACAAGAAGGTTTAAATAAACAAAATTACCAAATTAGTGATATATTTTATTTCTTTAAAATAGCCAAAATATTTGAAAAAATTAATTTTAACATTTTATTGTAAATATTATGGGTCTATTTAGTATTTAATAATAATTAAAGATTCTTTTGATAATTGTAGCTTCATTATAAAGGAGACCCGGTTGAATAGCAAGGACTTTGTTCTACATTTAAAAAAATGTCAATAGTATGGGAAGATACAATAGGAGTCATTATTAATATAATTCGCATGCGACCATACTGAACATCTTATACATTAAATCCATTCTTCTCCTTTCATGCTTTTCTTTTTTATTTTGATTAAATTTATTTTGATGTTTTTATTTCTGCCCTTTTTATTTGCTAATTCATCTTTTGCCACTCAGCCCCGGGTAGTGGTCGACTTTATATCGCTATAAAGGTTTTTCTATATAAGCGAAGAGCATGAAAACAAGTTTAATTTGGCGGTTATAACTTATGGAATATAAGTAAACAACCGCAAATTATTTTTTTTAGGAATAAGGTAAAAAATTTTTTACCAAAAAACACTCCTTCCCTTCTCCAAAAAAATAATCCTAGATACCAGATAGGTAAAGAAATGCATATTGATAAATTTTCAAATGTCTAGCTTTTAGGATTAATAAGTTATAAACATTTTCCATTTCACCCCGTTTGCCATCCATCCCTGGCCTCTCTTAATGGAGTAATAGCTATAAATAGGCCAATTTGGTTTGATCTACAGACATAGCATATGTGCCTATGAAGATTTACTAAGCATCGGGGTGCGAGTTAATATTTCTGTTTTAGCTATATTCAAGAAAAACCCCGAAGCTGAGTTGTTAGCTTTCGCTTATAATTAGTAGGCTAAAAATCGAACAATTAATTCAAATAAACTTTTCATATATTTTTTCGCTATACAATAGACCCTAGACCCAGGGTGTCATTCAATAGCTTCGACTTTTACAAATTTAATCTTATATTATATTATTAATATGGAATAATTGACGTTATTCAATTCCTCTATAATATTTTTAATTTTTTAGAGAAAAAAAAGGTTAACAAAAGACCATAGTAATTATTAAATCTGACCTTGCCACTTTATCTTTTATTTTATTCCAGGCGAGATTAACCAGGGGTATAATCGAAATAAAAATTCTAAGAAACTCTTATGAAAAAAAATAAAAATAATTATCCTTTATAACTTATGCCAAAAACAAAAATCGATATAAATACCAAATTTTATTTATATAAAATAATTTAATTTATTTTTGCTTTAAAATATTATATTAGTTTGGTTTATGTAATAAGGAGGTATAGAAAATGGAGAAAAAGTGGATTATTTTTATTTATTGAATAAATCGATAAAGAATTTCTTTCAAAATTTTTTTTACAAATAATGCTACAAAGTGCAAAGTCAAGTTGTTCCTTCTCTTTTACGATTTCTGAACTTATTAAAACTTTTTTTGGATATCCTATTTTTTTTAGAATATTTCGATTGTAAGTTTTTATTATATCTCACTAACTATTTTCTTCATCGACTTTAGCGATTGTAGTGTTGTTAAACGGCTCAATTTGAGTCGATTTTTAAAAACGGTTAACACAATATTTTATCCAGAGAAATATTATGCAAGCCTAAAGATTTTGCTCATAGATGGCACATAGGATTAAATATCTATTGGTGAAATCTCGACGCTTAGGTAATATTTTCCTGGCTACAATGTTGATTTAGCCGTTTTTAAAAACCGGCTCAAATCGAGCCGTTTAACAATACTAAGCGATTGTATAGGCTAAAACTATAAAGAGTATTGAATATTTTTGGGTAGGGCTTATGTGGTACTCATTTTTACTATATTACACTTAGAGATGGTTAGTCCGTACCAATATCAGAGACTGAGTAAACCGGTGATTTCATTGTAAAAACTGAACCGGACCGATTTTAGTATTATACACTCAAGATTAATATGTTTAGTTCATACATTTGAGATTTGGTAAATATACAGCCTTGTGTTTTCCTGTATTCCATTCAGAAACTATTTTATAAGACGATGCATGCCTCCTCTGAGGCGGTTTATATTTTAATAAATATGAGTTACTAAGCTTATTTCTTGGTGCGTGCAGCTTCATTTTTGTCGAGATTAAAATGATATGGTTATAAATATGCATATCTCTGAATTGCCACATAAGTAAATTTTTAATGCTTAATATCTTGGAGTTAAAAATAATTTATAAAAATATGTTAAGGCAAATAGCATCGGCAAATAAAATAAGTCATGTTGTAGATCGGTTTTCAACAATTTTTTGCCGCCCACCCAAACAAATTCTTGATTAGCCAATTCTGACGCCTCCTCATAAAATTTTGTTTTATAATAAGTTTTAATGTTATATCGATATTCCAAAATGTTTATGCATAAAAAATTAGCTACAATCTAGTGCCAATTCTAAGATATACACATTTATAAAGAGATTATGTAATATCGGTACACATAATTAATTTAGGAACTCATATATATTAACATAAAATTACTGCCTCAAGACTAGACCTGTGCGCCGTCAGCTCTCGCCGGTTGCTCGAAATTTTCTCCACCCTGTAAAACCCGCAAATTAAAATGGGCTGTCGCCATTTTTTTGTTACGGCGGCAGGGCGTATAACTTTAATTTAATTATATTTATATGTTAAATTTTTTTTATTTATAAATTTACATTAAAATCATGCATATATTTAATAATATATATATATATATATATAATGAAAATGAATAAGAACAAATAGGATCAAAAAATATTTTAGATCGTAGATGGCATTGAACCATGAATGGAGACTAGATTTGATTTACACATTGCTATTCAATATTATTTCTTATATTTGAATATTAAGATTAATAAAATATGAATTGTATTATTGGTATATAATAGTACTTAGTGATGTCAAATGGCATCCGATTTTTTAAAAATGGCTACCTCAATATTTTATCCAAAAAAATATTGCGTAACCCTTGAGATTTCGCGATAGCATGTCCAAACCTTTGTGCCGTCTATGAGCTAAATCTTCAGGCTTGCATTATATTTTTAGATAAAATATTGAGTTAGCTGTTTTTAGAAAGCGGCTCAAATCGAGTCGTTTATCTACACTAATAGTACTTATAGTTATGCACCAAATCAAATTAATATGAAAATTTAAAATTAAAATGGTCTACCTGTTGACGCAGCATATTAATTATGCCAGAAAGTATCCGTAGTGTCAGCAAAAGTCCTATAAATAATATGCTAAATAAAATAGAGAAAAAATCTTTAAAACTTTTTGAAAACTAATGGGATCTAGCTACGAACTATTCGCTAGAGAGCTATAGGATTTCTCTCCTCCCAAATGGGATCAACAATTAATTTAAGTTATTATTTCTTAGTGAAATGGAAACATTCTACAATTATACAAATCAATGAACCTAGATATCAATTGTCTAAAAGAAAAGCAAAAAAACTTGGATTAATTATAGAACTGCAAGTAATTTATTTTATATATAAATCTTAGATTAGCGACACTACTTGATTCGAGATCAAGATAAAATTGTTTCAGAATATTTAAATTCGATTTTACGACATCATTGCAATTTTTAATTAGACATTAAAACTTATAAAGCATCACAGAAATGCAGAGAATGAGATTCAAGTTGAAGATAATGCAAACATCCAACTCGCATATAGCCAAAATAGCAAACAATTACTTTCAAGCAACGACTATAATAAAACTAACAATCTAGAGCAAGATTGCCACATTTAGATGCGCTAACATTTCTGGAAAAGAAAGCGACTAAAACTTCCCGGGCTTACCAATTTAACTAGGATACTTTGTATATCTGTAACCAGTACACCTAGCGAAATGATCTTTTCCATCTCTGGATTAATACTCAATTCTAAAAGAATCTCTTTATGCCCCATCAATCCAAATAAAATAATATTTATTCACGGTAATAAAATTTAACTAAATTTGATTTTTAATTTATTTATATTTCTTACTTTATATTTTGTTTGCATTTCAAATTTATATATAAATTTGTTTTAATAAAAATTGATAGAATTTTACTGATGTTAACACACATTTACTATAAATGAGGCCTTACAACCCAAATCACAATCTAACCCTATTTACTAGTCATAGGATCGCTGATGCTCTATAGTAGAATGATATGTTTAATAACTTGGTGATTTTGATTTTTTTCGAATATATCCCATTACAGTCAAACCTGTCTAATTTAGGTTCTTGATAATTCTGGCAACTCCCTAATTTGATCAAAATTTTGAGTCCCAACCAAATTTATTAACTACAATGCCTTGATAAATTCTGTCTACTTTGAATAGTGGGCAAATTTTTAATTTTTGGTCCATTTTAGTAAGACCTATAAAAGTGGGCATTTGTTATTTATTCATTTATATTATAAAATTTTATCATCTTTTAAAACTTATTCATGTTAAATCACAAAATTAATTTAAAAAAACAAATATAACTAGTGTTGTGCAGATTCAATTCAAACATATTTGTTTGTAAATAAATTATTTAACTTGAAAAAATTGATAAGAATATTATTTTAACAATTTTTTACAAGTATCAAATTTGGTTAACATTGTAGTTTTCGTTAATTAAAAAAGCAGAAGTTATTAAATTTCTAAATCAACATTCTTTAAAGCGAATGTGCTAAAAGATTTAATACATATTTTTAAAGGAACTGTTCATAATTTTTATAAATGTAAAGAAATATTATCAAATCCCTGCCAAGTAAATAAATTATATTGTACCAAATAAACTAAGATAATAAAAATCTTGTACCCAACGGTGTCCAAATTAGACAGTGTTGATTGCTTTATTTTTAGCGGGTGATATTATAATTTAATCAACATGTGGATTTTTCATGTTATTAACCTATGAAATTATAAATATTTCATTACAGTAAAACTTACATTGTAGACGTTGATAAAGAATAATATTTAATCAAATATTATATACACTATTAAAAACGAAGCTGATTGAATAAGTGCTTGAAACATTCAATTAACTCATTAATGGTTAAGATTTTTCTAGTGGATAAATATGCTCAAATAAATATGATATTATAAAAAATCAGAATTATATAACACTATAAAATCAAAAAACAACAGAAATTTTTATTCCTATTTTGTAATTTATAATAAAAATAAGAAAATGTTTATATATTTGAAAATCCTTGAAACATTTAATATGAAGTGCGATTTGACATGTTTGGCACATATATCTTGAGTACGTATGGCAATATTTGCATCTACGTCTTTTTCCATCTATAATTTTGTATAAATAATGTCCAGATGAATCAGTAGGGTTTTCACTCTGTAATGCAAACTGGCTTGCGTGTCCTGTACTTATCGATTCGCGAATTTCCACGAATTTACCAAAGCTACATCGATAAAATTGGTGAATATTGGCCACCCCCTCTTATTTTTATTCTATATGTAGATGAGATTATCACACGCAGTTATAGTTTGTATTCATAAATCTAAAAGTATAAAAAATATTTTATTATAATAAAATTAATCTATTTACATAGTAAGTAATAAATAAACTAATATATTATGAATAGAAATAAATATTTAAATTAATAATTAAAAATGGATTTTGATTATTTATAAAAATAAATGGTTTTTTTAAGTATAACTTTTTTTAAAAAATTAAAACGCATTTTATCAGATTGGAAAGTTTTATAATATCGGCCGATAACCGATATTGTAAAAAGTTAAAATATAGGCCCGATCCAATTCGATAAATAATATTGGTACATCCTTAATATGTATATAAAATGAAATTTGTTTTATATATTGGTAGAAAATGTTTTATATTCATTTAGTTATTATATATTTAAAACTTAATTCATATTCGAACTAATTTAATTTTTTTAAAAACCTAGAAATATATATGGGCCATTCCACGTCAAATCGATCACGATTCGGCCGACCCCTTTTAAAATTGTTAAAAATTTCTGGAATTATTTAGATAGAGAGTGAGAAAGCCGTTTATTTTAGTTCGCTAGCACACCTGGTTCTCGAGATATAGGGGCTCAAAAGTGCAAAAATAAGCCACTTTGGAATCTGTAATATTTTTAAAATGCTTATATCTCAAAATCTATTTATAATAAAAAAAATCATAATATATCATTTTCTAGGTTAAAAAATTCTCTAATGGGCTAACAAAGAATAATAAATATTGGCATAGGCTTTTAACATCCTGCTTTACCTGTATTTTTTAGCAAAATAGTGAGTTGGTTTTCTAATTTTTTTTATTGCTTTTTATTAAGACACCTTTGCTAAATATATATACAATATCAAAACCTTGGCGACGCTATCGACTCCAAAAATTGATAAAAAATAGATGGCGCTTTATGAAATTACGGATTATGGTTAAAATTTTGCTGCTAACTTATCAATAACAAGATATTTTCACTTTTTATACTAAAATTTTTGATTTTCTATTAAATATACTAATTAACTGAGGTGCAGAGTGGGCATATGCATATTAGACACTTAATAATGTAACAAATTTCCAATAATAAATATCTTTCATATAATTTTTTTAATTTTTAAGATATCTACAATTTCATCGAATTTTTCATCATTTGATGAAGATAATTTAAAACTTTTTTTTACTCTAGATATTTTTTTCTTCAAATATTTCTTTTCACATTAGCGTTTTCTTTTAATGAGAAAATTCCCATTTGATTGTAGGGATTTATTAATGTTATTAATAGCCTCTTGATAAATTATATGAAGGGGAGAATCAATATCTACATTGTCATTTGAAGTATAAGGAATGTTTGCTAATTTTTGTCGCCATGAAGAGCATATTAACATATCTAAATTGAATGGTAAATTTTTTTGGGTCATCCAGGGTAGAATCTTTCTTAGATTCTCGCGATAATAAACATGTCTCTGTAGATTAAATGGGTTGCAACGTTTTAATACTTGGTACGTCCATCTGTGATATAGAATAAAATTTTAATTGATCTACACCTAGAATATATGTTTTTGCACTCTCCAAATCCAGATTGTTATTGGTAGACAGACGATAAAATTAATCTGAACGGACAGGTTAAAGTTATTTCGCAGAAAGAGAGATCTGTTTAAACAATTTATTTTGTAAAATATAATCGAATATATGCCTAATAAAATATTCGTTTTTACTGCAGCTGTTATATATTATCGAGCTAATAAGTCATTCGCTCGCTATAGTAGCAAAGTAGAGATCTAAAAAATGTAAAACATTTTAAGGATAGTGGGAGGGGGGGGGAGGACAGAACTGGGAAATTTTATCACAATTCTTATTAACGTATCAATATTTTCATTTTCCATAAGAATAATTTTTTTCAACCATTAACGCCATCTATTTTTTCTTCAATTTTTGATAAAATGTTTATTTCGGAAATGTCGATACCGTCGCCAAGGTTTTGACATCTTATATATTTATAAAAGGTGTCTAAATAAAAAGCAAAAAAAATAATTCGAAAACAAACTTACTATTTTGCTTAAAAATGCAGGTAAAGCAATTTTGGTAAACCGGATGTTAAAAGCCTATAATAACGCCAATATTTATTATTCTTTGTTAGCCCATTAGAGAATTCCTTTACCTACAAAATGATATATTATAATTTTTTTACTATAATAGTTTTTGAGATATAAGCATTTTAAAAATTTTACAGATTCCAAAGTGGCTCTTTTTTGTACCTTTGAGCCCCTATATCTCGAGAACCAGGTGTGCTAGCGAGCTAAAATAAACGGCTTTCTCACTCTTTTACCTATCTAAATAATTCCAGAAATTTTTAACAATTTTAAAAGGGGTCGGCCGAAAAAGTGCCTTTTTTGATCGATTTGACATGGAATATGGCCCATATCAAAAATTCTTTTCTTTTCTTGAACATACTTATCACATATATAATTATTTTTATCAAATATACGAATTATTTGATTTCTTTCTGATTGACATCTGTCCTCTACGCTTTTCTTTCATTCACTAAATCATCCACTAGGCTCACGTTCTACAACCTAACGTATACTTCGATTATATTCTTTTATTTTATAAATAAATTTGGACACTTCCAACTTTTAACCTTACTATTTTCTTTCCCATATATCGTCTCTCTCCTACGTGACCAAATCAACGTAATATACACGCTCTTATTTTAACAATAAGGAATATTGAATGTCTTCATCTATTGCATGCTACCACACTCCGGTTATTACAAGATTTAACTGTGTTTTTTTTGGTGAAACGAGAAAAACATTTGTGTCAAAAAAATTAGTATTTTTAATAATCAAATATCATTTTGTAAGCAAAGAATTTTAATCCTGCATTATATCATCAATCTAACTTATAGCAAGGTTTTATTTAAAAAAAATGTTACAATGTCAATTGAAAAAAAAGGTCGCCTTTAATACTCCACTTATTCAAAACGGTTCCGGCAACGTCAAATCTCATGACAAGAAAAATAAAAGCTCGCAAAACAGCGTTAAACCTACAGGTGTAGAAAATGCAAGACAAGACTCAAAACACGCATCAGACCTCTTAGTGCTCAATTCACCACAACTAAGTCATACAAAATACGAGACGGTAAAGCAAAAAGTATTTACGTTTAACCCACTCCATATTTACCGTTTATTTATTTGACAATCTTATAGCTATTTTTTAAATAAATACTCGCCTCTAAATATTAGGCCGAGTTTCATAAAAAATATTATGCTGAAATCTTTGCTTAATTTAATTATATAGATTCTTAAAATTGTGGGGGTTTTTAACCTATATGACCTCATGAGAGTTAAGTTTGTATCTTATATCTTTGTTTTATTTACAAGCAGGGAGATTAAATATTTTATTATCTTGAAATCACTTTTGTGTGTTATTATTTTTTATAAAATTAATAACCGGTGCCAAAATTTTAATATTAAATGTTGTCACCTGAGTTATGAAATTATATTTAGCTTTTTTTTCAGTATCATATTATACCCTGTGATTTATTTAAATCACATGCAAATCTAACTTTAAAGCTTAATACAAATAACTTGATTTGATTGTAATGGATAAAAATTTAAGATTTTTTAAGCACTCTTATTGATTTCTTATAGATGCCATAACCAAGGCTGTGTATTTGATGAATCAAATATAAAATGAAGATTTTTAAAATCCTGTTTTCGTATAAATTCTCAAGCCTGCTCAATTTCTTTCAAAGAAGAAGTTAAACTAAAAAATGTTAGTTACCCATATCTCTATGGGCAAAGCCCACATACATAAAATCGAAATCTGATATTTTTTGTGATATTAACCACTTTTCACCTATTTTATTTATTAAAATCAAAAGTTTATTATTATATCATATAAAATAGATTGGTTTTAACCGCCATATTAAAGCTGGTTTTTGTATTTATCTCAAGCTTCATCAAATTTACTATTCATACAATGTTCTCCTTGATATTTGGTATCTAACAATATGCAATTTTGTAAGCATATGCATTAAGATCGTTTTTTGTTATTTGGAACATTTTTTTTTAAAAGATTCTTAAGGAGAAAATATTGAATCATGGCACGATTATATTGTTTATTGTAATTATTGTCTTTTTTTTCTTTATGTAAAATACATAATTTAATATATTATATGCTTTCAGATTTTGCATATTTTATGCTTGTTCTATATAATATGATTGGTTAATTGCCATTCAATTATGAGGTTTACCTTGTTAGACCATTTGCCTCTAATCCTCTTTCTCCATTTTAAGATTTTGAGTATCATCGTTGGTGCCACCCATTATTTTTTGTTCTTTATGATTCTATGAACTTCATTATTCACATGGTTATGATTCTAAAGTGTTCAAATCTCGATATGTTGTATTTGATTACCTGATTATTAAATATTTATTTTTTACGTAATCATCTCATTTTTCTATTAAAGCTAATTTTTTATTATTACTTTGGCTGATAACGTATTATATTGCGTATATGATTATTAAGAGCATTAACACCAATCACACTAAGGACTTCAACAAAAAACTGGCCAATAGGCCTATCGTAAAAAAACATTTTAAACCCTTTGATCTTCACTAGCTACAAATTATATACCGCCCTTTAGTTATTATTTTTTTAAAAAAATTAATTTTTTTTAAAAGAGTCATCAATTATCGAATGAACTTTTGCACGTGACTCCCACTTTAACTGATAATGACGTATTTCTGGACAATAAGTATAAAAAAAATTTTTTTAAAATATATTCTAGAAAAAGTAATTAAGAAGAGTTGGTATAAACTTGGTTTATAACATTTTCCTTTTAGCATTTATGATTTCTTGAGAATCGTTATAATTGGGTAATACTGTAATATAGAAATTTAAGAAATAGAAGGAATTAATTCAATGTAAATGGAAAAAATAAGAAACAAAATTTTTTTTTTATTAAAACCTATAAACACAAATACAGAGATTCTAACCTTCAATCAATGGCTGGCGATACCAATGATGGATGGGTATAAAATCATTTTTTTAATCATTAATCATACATATTTTAATATAATTAGTTTCATTTATTAAACGTTTTTGGATAAATATTTTTAATTTGCCATTAATTTTTAGGTTTTTGAACTTTTTAAATTTCTACAAGTAAAATGAAAGGGCTAATAGTATAAAAAGATCTCTATTTGAAGTAAGTCTGGTCTACATAAATTTTAAAATATACTATCATGCATTATTATATTTATTACGCATAATTTTACATAAATTATATAAATAAAAGCAAAAAATTCCGAAGAAAATAAAGTACAAGAAGAAAAAAAAAAGCGAGATTGAATAATCCTAAAAGCGAGATTGATTAGTCCTAAAAAAAGGAATGAATGGCGATTTAATTTGTATTTCTTAAAATACTTTAGTTTATCACGACATGATTTATAAAATAATCGAATATTAGTAAAGCTATTAAAGCAACCTTGATCAATTCAAAGAATAAAATGCGCAATTTCCGTAAATACTAATTATCATTTTAGGTGTTCGATCATAACCTGAAATCGTTTTTTAAAATTGTTTTTAAAATACACATGATTGTTTTTTTTTCATGAAAATTTTAATAATTCTTGTTATATAGTAATATAACCAAATAACTTGTTACCTAACAATAAAATATTATATTTATTACTGGTTTTTTAGCAAAATGACCAAAAATGAACATGTAACAACTTAATTTTTTGACTAAACAATATTGTACATTATTTTATCCATCTAACTCGAGCCCAATTTCACCATATAGAGGGTCTAGAAAGTCGATTTAAGTAGAAAATGCATTAGATGCTATGATTAAATGTATTATACATTAAGTATTTACACCCCCCCCCCCCCCACCTCCATTTTGATGTTGGCAGCGACATTACATTTTATTTTAAATTGTGGAAAATCTTAAAATTGACAAAAAATATTACCATATTACTCCCCTTTATTTATTATTAAATAATTTTGTTATCGCTTTTTTTAAAAAAATACCATTATTCGCTGATAGAATTCAATTTTGATTTGTATTTCTTTTAAAATATCCTTTTTATTCCAAAACACACAATTAATTTAACAAAAATTGATGTAGATATATATTTGACATTTTAATTTTTTTTAGCATATGATCACTTATTCTAACATCATTATTAATATTAATTTTTTTTAAATAAGAATTTGTTTTTATATACATAAAATATAATTATCTGATTCAGTTCTGATCTCTACGATGCACATATATTCTTGTGAAAAGATCTGGCGGATGTAGTGTGCACTTTTGAACCCCACCCTTCCACGTTAACTATCAACTTAATTTTTTTATGAATAATTTTTATACGCATAACTAATTACATATAGTAAAAAACTTCTTATAAAATGATCCCTTGTTAGGGAAGTGGTCATTATAGCAAACAGTTTTGCAATATATTTAAATTGTTGAACTAGTTACATTTAAACGTTTAACTTTACATCTAGAGTAATTTTTATGTTCCATATAGTTTGTATGATAAAAGTTGTAGATTTTTATATTCCATTTTTTAAAAGGCAAATAGATTATATGAATAATATTATAATTTTTTCTCTTCTTTTAATCAAATGTTTTAATTTTTTTTATAATCGATTTATATTATATATTATTGTATAGATATAAATAATAAATAATATATATATAATTCTATATTAAAATAAATCATAATATTTCAATCTAAAAACATAGCAAATTAATATTTGTACTTAAATTATTTCATCAATTGAGTTATTTATTTTTTAGATTGACTATTATCATCAAAGCATTCATTCATTTTATCAATTTCATTGCCGTCTGCTTTGTTTCTTCTTTGTTTGGCTCCTTATCATCAGGACTATCGTCAAAAAACATTAATTGTTCATCATTGCCTTTGTAAGTTGTGATATTTTCATAATTTTTCAATGTGATGCCGATATGATTATTTTCAAGTGTGACCTCTTGTTTTTGAGAATTTTATGGTCATTTTACGATTCTTTTCCTGCCATTTCGTTGATGTGAATTGAGGGCGGACATAAGGATTTCTCATTTGTTGTTAGCTTTGAATAAATAGTCCTTCAATCCTTTCTTCTCCTTTGTCAAAATATTTATATCAGAATCATTGGTTGGATTATTGGAAGTAGCATTATTAGAATTATTGAATATATCGCTGATCGCCAAAAACCTTAATATTTTTCTGGTAGGGTTTTCGGCCAGGTTTGAAAAAATTTTTTGAATTGAGGATGCGCAGCAAATTTCCACGGTTCCTCATTATTATTTGGGATTTGAGACCGTCGGAATTATTCTTAGAATCATTTGGTTTCAAGTACCCACTGTCCTTTTCGGTCCGTGTACTTTGCTCTGAATGAAATTCATAAAGTTTTCTGTATGTTTGAAAAACTCTTATTTAATTTTATTTTCCTGTTGGCATATTTCCATCATATAAGTTTTGTACCTTGTTAAGTTCAAAATGTTGTCTTGCTGATTCATTAATTTCTTTATATTTTATATCATGATCAAAGGTATTTCTTTTAAATCAGATGGATCAGAATTGGAAGTTGATAATGCATGATTTTTCTTTCCATCTTAATTTATTCCAAAAGTTAAAATTTTAATTTTATTATCATTGTTATATTCCTTTTTTCTTATATGTAGGTTTTCCATAATTCAATTCTACTCATATATTCATCTTAAAATTTAGGATCTATTTTTTCAACTCTTGTAAATTTTGGCCAAATATCAAAAGGTTTGCAGTGGATCTGCTTTTCATCTTCTGGTTGGGCTTTATATTTTGTTTCTTTATGTTAATATGATCTATTTTATCATTTTTATGGACTTAATTTTGTTTTAGTTAAATTTGCAAAATTATCTGATAAAGCTAAATTTGAAGTTTTTATATCTTTGTTTGACAATATACGAGGTCAATGAGCAAGAGGATTTTTAATTGTTTAAGACTGAAGGTAGAGGTCTGTACAACCTTGGCTTGGTCGAGTTATCATATTGAAATTTTTTTTCCTCGGGCTCGGGATTGTGTCGGGCTGTAAGATGTGTTCGACTTGAAGCCCGACCTAATAAATAAATATTAAAAGTACAAATATTCTTAATACAAATATTTTTTGTTTAACAAAAATATCAGAATAACTTATATTGATATGTCTTTTTAATATGTTATTATATTTTTTAGAAATTTTTTCCTTTTGACATCAATCTTGCAAATTATTTTTATAATCACAATACTTTACTTTTTATATTTAAACTGAATAAAATTTTTATGTACAAATTAAATAAATTACAACTTTATATGAATATAGATTTGATTATACTGGGCTAAATATAATTCCCGCACAAATAGGTATTAAAGTTGTGACAAATTATTTTACCTAATCTTCAAATCTTTGAAAGATGGTAACATGTGAATTACACATAATTTTTAATTTTTCTTAGATATAATATTTGAACTCAAATTTTAAATTTTTTTACTCTGGCTCTGGTCAATGAATATAAAAATGTTTGATCAGGCTCGGACAAATAATTTTTATATTGGATGAGGGTTGGACTCAGGCCGCAAAAAATTTATTTTGTAGACCTCTAGCACAAAGTGAAAAATAATTTATTAATTTGTAGCATTAAATTATTTTCTTTAACTAAATTGATGAGTAACTGGATTAAAGTTTCAAAAAATATAAATGTACATGTACTATAATATTATAGAATTTTATTTTAAATAGTTGTACATTGTTTTTTTTACATCATGTAAGTTTGTAAAATTTAAAATGAATGGCATAACGATTTGATAATGGAGGTTTTATTAAAAAATATTGTGTGCGATAAATAAATTCAAAGTTTGGAATTTTGTTTTCTTATCTCTCGTTTACGAATATAGATTTTATTTCATGTATACGTAATATTGCTTCATCTAAATGTCATTTTTGAATTAACAAATTTCTTTGATAAATAATACTTATAATTAATAATATATTAACAGGGTTGGACAGTATCGTGGATAATTGTATGTTTGTTAATATTTTAGAAGGTATTTGGGACTTAATAATATTAAATTTCAAACCTGACCAGGTCCAAAATTTTTTTTATAAAGTTTGTTCCCACCCGATTCCGAACGAATTTTTTTTATTTATCCCCAAAAGTTCAACTCGAAATAAAAATTATTTGTCCACCTGGCCCGAATTTATTTAAATATAGAGATCTATTTTTTCGATATAGTTTAACATTTATACTCTTAACATAGTTAAGAGTTCTTTCAATCTGCAAACAAATAAAATATATTGCCGCCTTATTTTTTGCATAAATTTAAAAAGATGACCCCAATTTTTAAAAGAAAAAATAGGTCCGTGCCTACTTTTACAGATCTTTAAACATCGTACCCTATTTTTTTCTCTCATTTTTTTGCTTATAATAAATTTAAATATATTCTTATTGATTACGTCCACATATTAGAGTGTTTATCACTATATTCTACCCTCTCTTTATTTTATAAAATGAATAGATGTAAAAAGGTTTGATTGTTACATATTTTGATTTTCCATGAGATATAAACGAAAAAAATAATAAATTTTTTGCGCTTAGACAATTTTCCGACTAATTTTTGCGAGGTCTGTTATCAGGAGCTTGACGCATTGAAAGCAATTGGTGCAGACGAGTTTAAGAGTTAAACTGATTAACGCTAAAGCAAAATTTCTATTAGATTTTTATGCAACTATTTTTTCTAACCATTAGAGTTATCTGCTAAACAACAAGAAGAATTTAGCCAGAATAAGAAGATACATGCTCAATCTAATGGACCTGTAAAATGCAAGAAGAAAATAACATCTAATACCGGCATAAGTAAGGCGACAAAAACAATTCAAGAACTCCCTAAATGAGCTACTATACATCCAAGATTTTTTACATAGCTCAGAACATTTTTGACTATAAATGATATTTTGTGCTCCGCCCTTTTAAAATAATTAATCATTAGCGTAACTTAGGAATACGGGGGGGAGTGGCATATTGGGTGTAGTTTGATTAGATGAATATTATACATATTAATATTTATTGTACTTTATAATATCTAAAACCATGTGTTATTAAATATTCTGAAGACGATATAATGAAAGATATATATATTTATGTTACAGTAAAATTGTTTGACGTATTGCATCGAATCATGTATTCTCCTATTTCCTCTAAAATTATAATACTAAATTTTAAAAAACATGTTAAATAAATAATTCAATGTTGGTAAATAGCACTATCATTTGTTTAAGATGATATTTGAACAGAAATTTTTGAAGGAGGGGATCTCCTCGCCTCCCCCCTCCTTCCCACTCTTGGCTACGCCTATGTATAAATTCAGTGTAATATTGTTAGATAAATAAAATATTCAAACAATGCTACTTCCCTAAAAATCTATTAAAGTTTTAATATAGAAATAGATAAATGTTTTATTTTACTATTGTACTTAGTTTTTTAAATAATTATTTAAAAATTTATTCAATGTTTATCATTATATTAATATTCATAATTGTTAAATTAAGGGGAAAAACTTTGGAATAGAATTAAATTTTAAATACATCTAGCAGTCGCCTATATAAATTATTTATTTTCTTTATAATTTAAAAACTATATATAATTGGGACATCCGACCCTTTTATGGGCAAGAGGTATTCACCAAAAAAAATATTATACATAATATCTATTAAGTATTTAAACAATAAATACGTATTTTATAGACAATATATTTTACATAATTAGATTGAGAGGGTTTTTCAGATCATATCTATTGTATTACCGATGCGTGGTATTGATACTATTGGAGCACTTGCTACGGTATCGTCCTTCAGCGTCAATGAAATATTTATAGCGCTACCATGAATAGAGTCGGAGGGAGAGGTCGAGGATCCTAACATATCGCTCCCAAACTCTGGATAAACGGTTATGCGAAATTGGAGTATTCTTTGGCCCTGACAATGAATTATCGATTTGATTATTCATTCACTGTTTAATAGGAAGGTCACATTGCTACATCATAAGTCCCTCTAACTGACAATTGTAACATATTATTTTTTAATATTGACTGTTTATTTCTGGAATTGTTATATTTCCATGTCGATATTCTTAGGGATTACGGTCAATTGTACATAGTATTTATTAAAATCAACTAACTGTGATGGGGTTTCCATGTTAGATTGATATAAAGGGCCGAATTTAATTTATTTATACTTTATTTTACAAAGAAAAATAAAAATAATGAATTTAATTTAATTTATCTGAATCTCAGTTTACAATAAAAAATTATACACGAACATACATATTAATATATAATTTTTTTTATTATTTTTTCATGGTTTAATTCTTGTGTAAAGAAACAACTTTATTTCTTAATCAGCAATATTATTTATTTCCCTAAATAATATTATAACTTTCAATTTATCTTTTACTTAATTGTAGTGGTACTTAGAGGTCTGCAAAATAATTTTTTGGCAGCCCAAGCCTGAATTTAAAAAACTTTTTTGTCCGAGCCCGAACACACATTTTTTAGTC